ACACACACAAACAAACACACATGTTCAGAGAAATACATGCATGCATTGCACATACAACACAGACATGCACCATAAATCATCACGTAAATACCTGATATACATCCCTTCACGATTGATGTCCTTGTAAAAGTTCTGCAAAATCAAAAGGACAAGTTGGGTTAGTGTCTGCGGGTGTGTCTGTCTGCATATACATATAGGTGCATGCATTTGACAAATTCTCCAACACTGCACTGACTGCAAGTTTCTAATTTTGCATTCGTGTGGCCGAGAGTTCGTCTGTATGGCTGTATGTGTGCGTTACATGTGTTGTACATACTGTACTTCTGATTGCCTGTGTGTAATAATGTGTGGGAGTGCGTGCATGCACATTTGTTCGTTAAGCAGCACAAACTCCCAGTTTAATGAAGTTTAATGACATCTACAGAGAATAGAGGAGTGGAACGAACTGATGTAACCCCATCTCCCACCACCAGCATGAGCCAGCATACACAATAATACACACACGCACACACATACAATCACAAATAGGCAAACAAAATGAGCTCAATTACTGTGAGATTCACTGGGAAGCCAAAGCATACTGTAGTAAAATTTATATCTACTTGCTTTATTTATTTTTGCAAAGGTCAGACACATATTGTTTGCATCAGTGCTTTTTAACTTAAGTAAGCCAATTTCCTGCTGCAGGCTAGCCCATCTACATGAAGGTCAATCTTCGCCTTTCACACATCTTCTGAAAATACAATAACTACAGTATCACCTTCAATGCACCATTTAAACATAACAATACACCAAGTGGCAGCTGTTTAAAAATCCCCGTTATTATATATATATATATATATATATCTAATATGGAGGAAGTGATATCTACCAACATGCTTATGTGAACAGATGAAAGCGTCCCTAGCTCGAGGCTAGCAAAGGTTACTTTAGCCTGAGCAGTGTGTATGTGTCTGTATGTTTGTGAATGTGTACAAGAGTATTTGATTTTCTTTGAAAGTGTATCTGCATGAGGAAGCAGAGCAAATACCTATGTGATTGTGTGTGCATGTGTGTGTACTTCCTAAGTGAGATTAGCCTGCGGAGGGGGAATGAACAGGAGAGTGTACTATAGTGCCTGCTAGCCTGCAGAAGGGATTTTAAGCTGGCTAAACAAATGAAAGAGAATTGCTAATGGGCAGCTGCCAGAGGCTACAAGCTAAACACTTCTGCCACGTGCCAGCAGCCTGCCCTCCTCAGGGAGAAAATAACACATAAAGACACAAATAGACTCGCTTCCATTTAGGATTAACTGATCCTCCTAAACTTTGGCGTTTTAGAAATGTCTTCAACAAGGAAAATTCTAGGAAAGAATTCAAATAAAAAAACTATGCATAAAAAAAGAAGGAAGACACCGTTAAGAGGTGGAATTATATGATTTAATCTGCTGTGGAGACGATCATATGGCGAGTAGATGGGATCTGTTACTAAACCTGAGAATACCGCGGGGGAGAATCTGATTAGGAGATCACATAAGAGAAAGGATGTGGAACAGACAGGAGCTGATGCAACCCTTTGCAAACAGTCAGAGACCAGACAGAGAGATGAGTCTTTTTCTTTAGATCAACCAGCCCACAAATTAAATGTGGTAAAGGAATACAAAGACTTTAGCAGGAAAGATAAGACATAAAATCAGTGTTTCATAATGAACTCTTCAGTCAGTGTGGCTCTTTTGGTAGGAGATGAGATTATTGACTAAGGGCAGTATGGAACAAACTCACATAATAGTCTTTTCTTACATTAGCCTTTAATTAATAATGAGTTTATTGATGTGTATATGTGTGTGTTAGCGTGTGTGTATCTGAGATCAGCACCTCTTTGCTGTGGGATTCAATACTACAGCTAGAAAGTACAGTACACAAATCACAAGGTTAGTGTCAATAAATGCAAATCCATGGTGATACATGCCAGATTCACAGCATACGGGAACCACAGAGCATCAATTAAACATGAAAAAAACAAAAAATGATGAATGAAAGATGAAATTCACATGGAGAAAAGGCTCACAGCAATATGATGAAATTCCAAAATAGGCCCCGATTATGTAACTTTTATACTAAATAACAGCTTTAAAATCATTTTGATGCTACACTGACCTGTAATTGGATGAATTGTGCTTCTGTCATTCCGGGTCTGGACAAGTACGTAATGCTTTATGGCACTAAGTCACACACCACATACTATGTCACTCATTTTGATAAAACTAACTGAAAATATTTTCCAGTTTTCCCTCTGATATGCTACTGCTGCTCCACCGCAAGCCTCTGGGATTTACAGAGTTTGTTAATGGACAGTAAAGTAACTGCTACAAAATGTCTGGTGAGGGGGCAATGTAACCGGGCTCAGCGGCATTTGTGGAGATGGCAAAGGCTAGGAGATTCAAGAGGACGACAGAGAAAGCTAATAAAAGAAAAGGAGAGAGTGACTGAGTAAATATCAGATTGACTATTAGTCGTAAGTGAGAGCTTAGTGAAGTAAAAGGCTGCAGACAGATGGCGAAGCCTTTTTGCTGTTGGACTAGTAAGTAATATTAGCTGGCTTTGAATATCAAATCTTATGTAGCGTTACTTTAAGAAAGTCCCTTTGAACACTTTTGTTGTGGAGAAGCATATAAAAAGCCCACAGCAATATAAAGGACCAGTCTAGGACAACTCAGCCAGCTAAGTTTTATAGAAGGTGGGACTTACCAGCAGATTGACAGTGCAGCTCATGCGGTTGTTGCGGCTGTCATCGCTCATCACGGTGCGGTAGTCAAGGAGACGGATGAGGAGTCCCTTCACCAAGGCAACAAAGTGCTGCACATGTGTTTTCAGTGTGGGTTTCTCGGCAGCGCAGTCCAGCAGGCTGTCAGACAGACGAGCATCCCCAAGTTAATCATCAGAGAATTCTGTTTTGATACTCAGTGCTTAAGTGCTTTGTGGTTTTGTAGTGTATTGCTGAGAGACCAATGTGTCAAAAGTGAACTTTTTGAGGGTTAGCAGGAAATGTATTATTAGAAGTTATTTAGACAGTAGAACAAGCCATGCCAAAGATTTATACTGCTATATCATATTGTTACAGTAATATCACTTTACTGCAATTGTACTTGTTTATATATTTGTCAAGCATTATTGGCTGCTGTAATTGTGGTATATTCTAATACTCGGGCCTACATGGTCTCCAGTAGCTGCATGTATCGCTCGTCTCCTCCTCCACCCTCCACCTCGTGGTCCAACTTCAGAATGATCTCATTCTCAAACTGCAGAAGAAAAGAGAGAGGAAGAGCAAGCAAAGAGGGAGAACAAACGGAGACGAGAAAGCACATGAAAGGAGGAACAAGAAGAAATCAATTATGCAAGCATAATTAAGGTGTCTTTTACTTTTATGTGCAGCGTCACAGGAAACCAATAGAAGAGCACAATGTGTTTCTGTGCAAGTGTGGATTTAGTGTGTGCAAATGTAAATCTTTAGATACTCTGTGTGAACACTTTTGCACACACGGCTATAAAGAGGTTCAGACATTTCTGTTATGCATACTGAAATGTTCACTTTAATGTGTGAACATCAGTCTTACAGAAATGTGTGAACATTTCTGTATGTATGAGTACGTTTTTACCTTGTGGAAATTTCCAGAGTGTGCATTTTCACAAGTGATCATGTCAAAGAAAATGGGAATGGTGGCCCTTCTCAACTCCTCCTCCGGGATCAAAGTCATCTCCAGAATGGGACCCACCATGCCGGGGATGAAGCAGATCTTGTGACTGCCTAAAAGACACACCCACAAAATCAAAAGGACAAAATTATATCTGATCCAATATTTGCCTCCAGAAATGTTTCTGCTACCAAAATATCCAAGTTTTCCCTTCTGCAATATAGACTTTGAAATCTGCTTCTTATCTTCAGAATATATTGTTGAATATAATATGTTTAATTGATGTCTGTCTATATGTGTATATGTAAAATGGTGATGACATTGAGAATAATTATTAGCATGCTGTAACCAAACAATCAAACTCACATTTTTGCCTTCCAAGAAGCAGCAGGCAACCATACTAAACTAGATGTTCTTACCTAGTTTGTACCAGATATCACGTATAGCAAAGCCAATGAGCCGTCTCATGTCTCCATATCTGAAAAAAGAGAAATCAGCCCATTCATTAGGAAACAATGGCTTGGTCAATACTGTTATTTTCACCTTCAGAAACTGAACAGCCCAGTGGAAGAGATAACACTGCACTAATCTGCCTGAACATGAACTAAATTGAATCTATCTACAGGCACCACGCGGTTTTAATAGGCAGTGGGAGCGTAAACGTAAATGACTCCAAAATAGATCACAAATCACTAAGTGTTTCATTAGAGCAGGAGAGAGAATGTGTGGTAAATAAGGAAATTATATGGTCCTTCTCTCACTTGGCCAGAATCTTGTTCCTCTTGGTTGGCGAGAAATGCTGAAGCTGCAGAGACTCCTGGGTAATAAACGCCACCGCCAAGTGGAAATAGTTATTCCACAACTAGACAAGGGGGGGAGAGGGGGGTTGTGGAGAGAGACAATAGATAACCATATTGAAATTAGTACAAACAAAATACACGAGAAGCTGTCAATATAAGACAAAGCCTGTAAATACGTACAAACACACTTACCTGTACTTCAAAGTCATCGTTATTGAGGAACTTTTGGTTCATAGTGTCTGCATAGGTATTGATGGCTCTCAGGAACACTCTAACAGACAGAGACACACATTTATTAAACACACAACCAAACACACCAATAAAGTAGAACTGTATCAAGTGAAATGGAAATCAATGCTGCAAAAAATATTTTCCTTAATGCAGTAGTTTGATTGTTGATGTATGATTAATAAATCAAAAACAACCTTAGGCAAAAAAGTAATGTTTAAGAATAAATAAAAGAGAATCTATCAATGATCTATCAATGTTTATCAAAGAATTTCAGCTTTGAAAGCTGTGCTATCTCTTAGACAGACAAGACTGTAATATTGCTTTAGATTCAAAACTTCTGTCACAATGACAGATCATGATAGCAACTTCACACAGTGTGCCAGTATATCACTGAGTTGTGAGTCTGTGCATTTCTAAAGTTAAGCAGCAAATCTGCTCTCAGTGTTTCTGCTTTAACACTATCTATCATCGTTATTCAGAGCCGAATAACTCCCTCACCTCCTTCTTTCTTTTCTTTCTTTCTCTACCTGCACATCTCCTCCCTATCGCCACTCTGCAAACTCCTTATCAACCTGTCTTTTCCTCTCCCTCACTCTCACTTTGACCTATTTGCCTTTTTTCTTCCTCTGACACAGCTGTAGCCTCCCCTCTAGCTTACTTCACACAAAATACATCTATGGCTTTCACTCCCTCAGCTCACATACACAAACACATTTGTCATATCAGCTTTTTTCATCATTGCAACCCTGATCCCAGCTTTACTATCTCTAACTTATCCCTGTGTGGGTTTGTGCGGATGCACTAGTCTCTGTGGATGCCAGACAATCCTTTAAAAATCACATACACCGCACCTCAATGTCCCAATAGCAGGTCGTACTGGGGCAGTTGTGGCCTATTAGGTTAGAAAAGCAGACCTGGGACTGTGTATATGTATGGTTGTAGTATAGTACCTGTTCTGTACCATGATCATGGCCATCCAGTCAGAGGGATACACATGTTTCCCAATCAGGTCCTTGAAAAGCAGGAAGGACTCCATCAGGAAGTCCTGTAGTGATAAGGGGAAGAGAAGGAAAATGATATATATATATATATATATATAACTGTATTGAATGAAGATATATATTTATATATCTTCATTCAATACAGTTTGAGACAGTTTTGAGACATCTGCAGGTGTGTATGTGTGTGTGTACTTACCACTAGATCTGAGGTTCCACTGAAGGTTTCTATGTATGTAGCATAGTGACGATCATCCATCTGACTGAGGATAGCTGTCATGCAGGCTACCACCCTGGACTACGAAGGTTGTGAGTGTGGGAGAGAGAAAGGGAGAAAGGGAGAGAGAGAGAGAGCGAGAGAGAGATGTGCCATTACTTTTTGGGCACTGTGCAGCTGCTCTTAGACTGAGTACTATACATCTAAAGCCAAAGACATTTAAATCTCTTAAAGTAATTTGCTGCTGCACCATGTCTAAGGCTGCCTAAAGAGAATTTCAAATAAAACCTCTGATGTCATTTGCTAATTTGAGCTACAATTTATGCTGAGGTCCACACAGCTTCAACATCATCACATGCTGCTTCCATGACCTGGAACAAAAGGGCAGCGCTCTGAGCAAGTAAAATTGTTGTGATGTTATTTTTAAAAATGCAGTATGCATCAACAAGTCGTTACCCCCATGTTATTCACAAATTAGCGTAATTATTAGAAACATAACCTCTGCCAGGAAGACTGGCAGCCTCTGCAGTTTCTAAATTGTTTTCTATAGTTTAAATTGTGGACCTCTGCCACTAGGTAAGATTTCAAAAAAACATTCAGAATTTCTGTATAACACAAATTAAAAGCTTTCAATGTTGCCTGTGACAGCAAATGGTATGAAGGTGTGAAAGGCTTAAAGAAATCACTTTTAACATGTGTAATTTGATTAACAATTTGTAAAGAAAGAGTAGACAGCCTTACATATATTACACAGAGCAACACCAGCAACACCAAAGAGAATAGTTTTGACAAACACTAGCGTCTCATGCAAGATGAGGTGAACTTCAATGCCAACACAAAGGAGAAGACATTTTACACAGTATGGCATAGTAAAAACAAGATATCAAAAAATCATATCATACAAAACAATGTACAATATAAAACACAACAAAAGAAGCTCCTGATTTCAGTTTTTAATGAGGTAATAACTCCCCAGTATGTGCACTTCATTCTGAATAATACCAGTAACAATAAAACTCACAGAGAGACTGGTAATAAGGAATATTAGAAATGGAGGATGAAAGTGATGGATAGTCAAGAGACAAGAGGAGGAAGATGGAAACAGCACTGGTATCACTGTGAAAGAAAGATAGACATGAAAGATGAGGATAGGTAAGAAAAGGTTCAGGTTTTAAGTGTGTAAACACTTCTTATTCTGCGGAAATCTCCTTGAGCTGGATTAAAGCACAAAATTTATGGAAATTTTGCACAAACCTTCCCACAAACAGAGGCAGCGAGGGTGGAGACACTCAGAGGGGAGGTGGGCAGCAAAAGAGAAGAAAACAGAGAAGAAAAGAACAGAGACTGACCTACACTGACCAGAAGAAAACAGAAATAACCAACGGCAAGAATGCAAAAATATATCCCATGGTACTAACCCTTCGAGTGCTAACATATTGATTGGTTGGTCTAGCCAAATTCAGGTTATCTACTGCCAGCGCCTTCCACTCCACCTGCTTGTCTGATGTTACTTTCTTAATTATTTCTCTCTCTTCCCTTTGTATTTTCTGTCCAGTCAATAAAATGAGGTTCTATTGAGAACCTAAAATGAAACATGGTAAAACTTAAATTGAACATTTCTCTGGAAAACAAACATAAAAATAGAAAAAATTGACAATGACAAAAGACCTACAAAACATGAAGTCCTTGCCCTGTTACTTTTGCTATTTTTCTCTTTCAATGTCCCCACTTTCTTCTTTCAATCTGCCTCTTTATTTTCATTTCTTGAGCTGTCCATAAACAAGTAGGCACAAACTGTCACAGCATTAAAAGTTAGCATGTTGAGCCTGAAAGTGGCTGCGGAAACCTCATGGAGACCAGGAGGAGTTTGATTCATAAAGAGCACACTGTTAATATCCAGTGTTCTACATTGACGTTCTCTGATCCTTCCCTCTGCTGTGCACAAGCTCACACGCTGTACAGGTACATCTGTCAAGGTTTTGGTGAAATTACTCTCCAGAGTTGGTGGCAGAAAAGGGAAACATGAGACAGAGATGAAGGATGATGGATGGCTAATTGAAGATAAAAGATGCTTGGTAAAAGTGGTGACTGCTTTCATCTGATCCAAATGTGAAGGGTGTATGTTTGTGTTTGTGTGTGTGTTTGCGCTGCATACTAATAAGAAAACATACCTTTTGAGTAACATATGCAAACAAAAACATATTTTCACTGTGTATAGTTGTAGAGCAAATGTAAAGGCACACACACACACACACACACACATTGGTAAAGGAAGGGTTTTCAGTTGGACTGAGTGTTCTTGGATGTGTGAGTGTTTGAGCTCAGTGCATAACCACCCCCATCCTCCACACAACTTTCTTCTTACAGTGTGGTGACACCAGAAACCTTTAATCTCTCTTCCCTTCTTTCCCTCTTCTCTTTTACTCCCTCATGTTCCCATCACATGATCCACCCTTGAAAGTACTTGGAGATGAATTTGGTGTGGCACTAAAGTAGCGAGTAAGTAAGTACTGTAAGGAACAGTTCCAAAATTGAGGGAGCAAGGTTTAGATTGTCCTTCAAATTAACTGAACAATGAAAAATACTGCTAGTTACAGTTTTCCTGACATGATAGCAGGCATTTAAATGATCTAATTACACTATAGCAAATGGAAAGAAAAACACCCCATGAGGCAGACAGGAGCAAGTAGCAAAATTTACTAACTCTAAATCTCTTTCTACTTCTCGACCTCCCTCTCTCTCTTCCTCCTTTGCCTCCTAAGTGTGTAATGGTTGATCAGTAATAGGATTAAGAACACACACACACACACATATACACACACACACACACCAAAACTACCCAACAGTTCACTACTTTCTGGTTTCATGTTCCCTGTGCCTGTGTGTGTGTTGAAGTGTAGGTCACGTGTCGTATTGCCCTACTTCAGTGTAATTGGTCGCCTCTGAGGACTTATGGTCTCAATCTCCCTTAACACCATCTAAAACACACACAAACATAAAATGTTCAAAGGGCCAAATATCCGACCATCCACTGTCTGTGTCCTCACACATGAATGTGTTTCATCAACACATTGCATGGCATGCAAAGACATATGCGAGACATATAATCCTTGGGTATATTGATTAAACTACGGACTAATACAGTGTGTGTGACAGAGAGAGAGAGAGAGAGAGAGAGAAAGTGAGCTCAGAGCTTGTTGAGGCGAAGGCCTTACGCAACAGTGAAGAGATTACTGACAAAACAGGACACAGATGCTGACGAGGTCTGGGATTTCTCTCCCTTCCCCCGCCTCCTCCTCTCTCCTTCCCTTTCACTCGATTTATCTATCCAGTCTCTCACTCTGGCCACTCAAGTTAATAATGTATTAGCAGCTGTAATTTCAGAGTTGCATCAAAATGACAGTTACCTAAAAAAAAAAAAATGCACCTGCACCACTTGAAATAAATCTAAACTAAGGCTCGCTGGGAATCACTTTAAGCTGCAATGTTCATTACGCTCCACAGTACAAAATTGTTGATATAAAGAAACAACATTTCTTTTCTGATTTTAGAACAAACTTATCAGAAATGGAGTTAAAAATATACAATTTGTTTTGAAGGTGGGGCTAGAGAAAAGGTCACAGGGTCGTTGAAATCAAAATCTTCAACACCTCGAGCAGCTGTTTGAATACAAAGATCTGCTGACTGATTTATGCAATTCTGCCATTACTGTGGTGGCAGAATCAAGCTTAACACTTTCATTGTCAATGAAAGCAGAGATATTTGCATTGGTCACAGTCGGCAATTGCACCCTCTGACAGATTAACCAGTGTAAGGTTTTTCGTCTCAAATTACTAGTTTAAAAATTCTCTATGAGAGTTTTGGGGGAGAAAAACATGAATGCCGACCTACACAGTCTGAATGTAAATGATCTGTGTAGTACTTAAACCCAGCTGGCATTACCTGCCTGCTTATTATTATAAAAATAAACTTGCAATCTAGGATTTCTTCCATTATAAATCAAATAAAACTGTATTTAGTGGTCATTGGTCTGTCCAGTGTCATCATGCAGCACAAGGTAAATGTAGGATTTGATGGACATTATTAAAATGAAATTAATTTCATGCAGCAGAGGCTTGTGGATTTTGCCCTCTGACATAATAAGTGTGGTTTTGGTGATTTAAAGATAAAAAGGTCCCCAGATCATTTTGATGACTATATTTTACACAGGCTCTACCGGATCTCCAGGAACTATTTATCGGCAAAAGCATGTAACATCCCTCCCACTGTTTCAGAGGTTGTCCGGGCCAGCCTCAGCAGGCTATTGCCTGACATGGATGGGTCTTAAAGGCTATAAAAGCTGGCCGATGTCCTCACTCTCTTCCCATTCCTACAGCAGAGATCCACTCTGAATCACCGTCTTTAGTGCTTTCATCACCTCCACAGCTCACGTCCATGCAATGCTTGCACTGTTTATTTCCACACCCCATTGTTAATTTGTGTCTTGCAAAAGTCTCTTACATGGAGTCCCTCTTTGTCACATTTTCTGAGCCACTGTCTGGCATACATAACAGAGTTATTGCATTTAAATACACCATTACTGCAGTGGCACTGCAGCTGAGGCTTGTTTACTTCTGTCCTATCCGCGCATTTGTCAATAGGGATGCAGGGAGCATTCTCAGTGATTGCAGACATTGGTTCCAGGAACAAAAACTTTTGAAAAAACTGTCACAGCACAGCCATGAAAATGGTGATAAAATCACTGAAATGTTAAATGTAGCAGCATATGTCCTCAGTGTGGTAAGTAGCTCACTGTCCATTTTATTTATTATAAATTTAACTTTTCATTGGAGAGGGAGATTATGCTATGTCTTCTTTCAAAACTTACATAGACTTACTTTATGTCACCAAGTTGGAATTTTCTGTTTAAAGTTCATTATCCCCAAGAGATGCCCAGTGGGATAAACAGTGAATCACAATTAATGCAATTAAATATAATTAACATATAATTCATTTTAAATTAAGACAGAGCATTAAGGCATTAACTTTGACAGCCCTAATTTAAATACTTAAATTGTTAGGGTTTAATCTGTAAAAGGAAC